TAAAATAGTTAGTATGCAAGTACTGGTATAAAACAGGCCACTCACCTTGCTTTTTTCCCCTTCTTACCACCGCTCTTTCCCTTTGTGGTGCCCTTTCCAGCCTCTGGTTCTTCCTCACCACTCCCCTCAACATCATTCTTGGTGGTGGCCTTGGCACGCTTGGTGTTTGTTGCCTCAGTATTGGATTGGCCATGTTTCCGGCCTCGTTTGGGGGGAGAATTCACCCCAGCTTGTAAAGATCGAAGTTCTCTTGCACTCATAGCAGTAGACAGCAAGATTAGAAGGTATAAGAGCCAAGTGGGACTGCAAGAACAAAGGGGACAGGAAGCAAGATGAAGGGGGAAGGGAAGAAAGACATGGGAACTTAGACACACACAGCTAGGGTTGAGGGTTTCTTTCAGATGTCTATTTTCAGTAATTAATCAAAATTTCAAAGTAAGAGGCAGCGTGAAAACACCGCCTCATTTTGATTCTAAGTATGTACAGGAGATGTAAGCCAGGCAAACAAACAAGACAGCAGGTGGGATTCCTGCTGTCTCGTTGTGTTCTGGGGTTCAGGAATTTACTGTAAAATGAAATACAGAGGCATGCCTTGTTGGTATTCTAGGGAAATGCATGAAAATTGTAAACTAAGCCGTTGACGTTGGGCGGTGGGCATCTGCGATGGGCGGTGGGCGTTTGCGATGGGCGGCGGTGGGTGTTGTTGATGGGCGGTGGGTGTTTGCGATGGGCGGCGGTGGGTGTTGTTGATGGGCGGTGGGCGTCTGCGATGGGCATTTGCGATGGGTGGTGGGCGTTTGCGATGGGCGGCGGTGGGCATTTGCGATGGGCGGTGGGCGTTTGCAATGGGTGTTTGCGATGGGCGATGGGCATTTGCGATGGGCGGTGGGCGTTATGGGCGGTGGGCATTCATTTACAGGTGGTTGTTGGGTGGGCTGTGGGCGTTGTCGTCGTGAGCGGTGGGTGGTCGGCGCCGTTTCGTGGGCATTTGGCACTGGGTGAGCGATGGGTGTTGTTCGTGGGCGTGGGGTTCTCATTTGTGGGCGTCGTGTAGTAATTTGTGGGTGGTGAAGCCTCGTGGGTGCTCGTGTTCGTCTTCGGGTGCTAGGGTTGTCATCTGGGGGGCATGGTGGTGTGTGTCATTCAAAATGGGATGGGATGGGGGGAATTGACTTACTAGAAAGCGACGACGATGAACGACGTTGTTCGTTCGTCGTCTAGTTGCCACATTGCGTGGCAATGGGAACTCCCTCCCCCCCCCCTCATGTCGCGTTCATCGTGTGAAGTTGGTGACGTGGCGCTTGGTGATGTGGACGTGGTGGATTGTGGTGGGCGTGGGCGACGGATGCGGATGGCGTCGAGCGACAGGGATCGTGGTGGTCACGATGAGCGGTGGTGGTGACGGACGTGTTTGGCGGCGGTGACGAGCATGGTGGTGGTGGGAGGAAGAGGGTGGTCGTGTTTGGTGAGCATGATTGCCAAACAGATATTATTTGTTATCCATCGGAAATAAACAAACTATAATACATAACAAAACAATAAAATAACTAGATTGCAGTTCCTGCCCATTCCGGGGAATGCTATTCCTGCCCATTCCGGGGAAGACCATTCCGGGGAACATTCCGGTGTACATTCCGGAATCCACCGGAATTCCACTGGAATTCCACCAGAATGGAACACACCGGAATAAACAATTTAGCAGGGCCTTCTGCTAAATTCCATTCCACCGGAATCCACCGGAATTCCACCGGAATGACCGGATTCCTGCAGGAATAGGGGGGGCACTGATAAGACCTCATATCTTTCTCAATTCTTAACCGTTTTTTATGAAACAAAAACCCAATAAAAGGCAATAAACGTGGTTACAAGGGTATGCAACGCACGTGACCGTTTAACCGGTTGCAACCGATTAAAACCGGTCTTTGAACGGTTTTAAAAGATTTTTGAAATGAGGCAACCGGCAACTGGACCAACCCCAAATTGGGGCAACTGCAACCGAAAAAAAGACCGGACCATGGTCCAGTTCAGTTCTGTCCACCGGTTCTTTGCGGTCCTATGGACTGAACCTTTAAACACTAATCCTCTTTACTGTTCGTCCTGAACCTCATACACATTTTCCTAGGTCATCCTTGTTACCAACTTTCCCATGTCCTTACAGCCCCTCATTGGAAACTGACCATCATCTATCAACAGCCGCACATACATCTGGTATGTACAACCAATATGTCATTAAACATCCATTCCAACAATTCCTCCCTTCCTCTCTCATATCATAACACAAACTGCTTCATCCTCCTTCCTCCACTCCCTCCTCTCAAACACATCCCATGCTCTTTCCCATCAAGCCATCGTTTCTGGATATCCCTGATGTTGCTTTGTCTCCCCTTCATCTCCCCGCAGCACTGGAGATGCATACATGTTTGCACAGACAGATGGAGGTGTGGTGGTGTTGTTGAGAGTACCAGGGGGTGTGTTTGAGGAGGAACAAGGGATGTTGATGTACCCTTTTGCATGGTCGATGACACAGGTGAGATTGATCATTCTGAGGTTGGGAGTGTGTAACGGCGTACA